GACTTGTCTTTTATGGAAATTAAGAAAAGAGAAAAATATATTGATACAGTTTTTTATATTTACCCATTTATTTGATCATTTCCAGATCTTTATTTCTTCCTGTGGATTCAAGTTGCCATCGAGTGTCACTTCCTTTTAGCCTGAAGGGCTTCCTTTAATGTTTTTTGTAAGGCAGGCCTACTAGCAACAAATCTCTGTCTTCATTTGTCTGTGGCTATCCCGTTTTCACCTTTATTTTTGAAGGATAGTTTAGGACTCTTCAGAAGATGGGTAGAGAAACTTGACTATTCTGACTGGCCTCACTATAGCTATTAGTAGAACAGGTTTAAACTGTTTCCTTTTTTTGCAGGCATCCTCACTACAGTGTACTTCTGGGAGAGGAGCCTTCTCTGCACCCATCCTTCTTCTGCCTTCTCTTAGGGCAGGGTTTCTCAGCCTCAGCACTATTGATATTTTGGGCTGGTTAATTCTTTTTTGTGGAGGGCTGTCCTTTGCATTATAGAATGTTTAGCAGCATCCCCGGCCACTATCCACTACATACCAGTAGCAGTCCCCTTTCTCAGCTATGACAACCAACAATGTCTCCAGCTATTGCCAAATGTCCCCCGGGGAGGGCAGAATCACCACCAGTTGTGAAGCACTGTGTTAGAGGGTTACTGATGTCTCCCCACGTTGCTCATTCTCCTGTCATATTCCTCCATACGCACCCCTTCTCATTGCTACTCTTTTGCCTGTCCTCTTTGCTCTCACCTGGATTCTCTGTTCCTCTCATAGAGTTCTGTGAATCAATAGTGGTCACTCCTGCAGATGGAGGCAGTTGCCCCCTTCTCTTTTTAAACGTTCTGCTGTACATTTTGTAGTGAATACACTGTTCATCATGTATTAGTGGAAGCCTATGTTTTATAAAGTCTGCTTTTCAAAGATCTAAGTGCTGTAAAACAGATAATATATAAAAGTTTAGAAACCATGGGGATATCAATTATTAGTTATTAATCTTTGTTTTCTGAAATGAGTAAGAGAACTTTCATGTACATTGCTTTTTAGTTTTCATATTATTTTCTCATATTTGATCTTTTTGATACACTACAAGTGTTTAGCCTCAGATAGCAAGTAAGAATATGCTGACTTAGAGAGATGATGAAAATGTGTCCCATATTACACAGTTAATAAGTGGAGGGACTGAGATCAGTTTCAGATCTTCCGTGAGCAAGGCCACTGTCCTTTTGAACTTCAGATTCTAAGAGAAAAAGTACATCCTTCATAGCACCATTGAGGCAAGGTAAAAGCATTCTACATAGTAGGAGTCTTAGGGTACCATGGGAACATCTATTCTTGTTATATAGAAAAAAATGTCGTGCATAGTTTCCACCAATGAATGGTTAGCTGGGATTTGCCCTTCTTTTCTTGGTTACTGAAGTGGGTGGTAGGGATTTTGGCTCCTAAATGGTCATAATTAATTTTTTGTCGCTGTTAAGTTCATCCAGCATGTGCTACATTTTGGAAAAACGTCTTATGTACCCTTGCGTAATTGGAGAGAGGAACTTGGAATTACCTTTTCTAGTAGAGATGATCGTTCAGGTAGTGTCTTCCAAAGTTTTTCTTATGGCTAGTTAGATTACTTACAGAATGATGGATGGATTGGAGTTAGAGAGACAGGTTTTTTTTGTTTTTTTTTTTTTTGTGGAGGAGAGCTTTTTCTCTTTGAAAACATTTTTAAAACATTTTCACTTTAAAACATTTTTTAAAAACACTGTTTTTCCCTAAGATGCATATATAAAAAAGAAATCCATTAGTTAAGGAATTGAGATTTACTCTTATTTCTGCCTGACCTTGCTGTGTGGATAAGTGAAATCCTGTGAGTATTTTTCCCGTGCTTAGCAGTAGTTCCTTAGATTCCTTATGGTCAGCAGAACCATTTGGTCCTATTGTACAGAAGGGAATTAGGTTTGGTCAGCTAACTTGAACTTTTTCCTCCTCAACTGTGACAGGCCATTGTTTTCAAAATCCAAAAGTTAGTCCTCTTTTTAACCAACTGAAATGCTATTTCCTTAGTGCAGACTATCCAGCACCTTTCCTGCACGGTGGCTCTGACCAGGAGCCTATCCTTATTATAAATCTGATCAGTACCTTTATTGTAAATATATATCAATCAACCACTTTGTTTTGTACATACTATTTTTCAAAGCGTGGGTCCTGGTCTTAAAGATAGAAGATGATATGGCACAATCGAAGAATTCAGCTTATTAAGATAATCACATGCACATGTGTACAAAATAACTTTGATAGAGCATATTTCAGAGATCTTAACCTCTTAGTATTAGAATTTGTTTTTACTTTTGCTTCTGCTGTCCAGACCAATCTCTGAATTTTTTTGCATCTTTCCGTTCACATGTTTATCATGTGACTTCTAGCATATGATTTTCACTGCTTTGATTGAGTTTTCTTCTTTGTTATTCTTCAGTAGGGTGAACTTCTGTTTTTCTAAAATCCCAAGGACTGGAAAATAATCAAAATTATTTCTACTTTCATAAGAGACATATGTTAAGTACAGAAGTTTATAACAGGAATATGTCTAAAATAATGAATCTCTAGGCTGTGGTGTGGTGTCATTATAAATTTACCACTATGACCATATACCTTTTATATGTGTGGTATTGTAAATTGATAGTTGTCTATTGCAGGGAACGGCAAACTTTGCCTGATAGTAAACATTTTCAGCTTTTTAGGTGTTATAGTCTCTGTTGCAGCTACTCATCCCTGCTGTTTAGAGGGAAAGCAGCCATAGACAATTTGTGAACACTTCAGTATGTATATAAAGAAATAGTATCTCATATTAACTCCTCTAACGTAGTAAGAATACCCTAGGCAGGTGAGAATATTTGTTGCCTAAAACAGGAGGGAAAGTATTGTAAATAAAGTTTATATTTAAGATTTTACATGAGTATAGTTTCAATTAATTATAATATGTGTTAAGTAAATTAAAACATTTTCTTGGGGGCTAGCCCAGTGGCATAGTGGTTAAGTTCGCATGCTCTGCTTCGGCGGCCCAGGGTTTGCAGGTTTGGATCCCGGGTGCAGACCTACACACCACTGATCAAGCCATGCTTTGGTGGTGTCCCACATACAGTAAAATAGAGGAAGATTGGCATAGGTGTTAGCTCAGGGCCAATCTTCCTCACCAAAAAAATCCACAAACACATTTTCTTGAAATTGTCTCTCAGCTCTTCAGAAAATAGGCTGATGTGGTGGTAGTCCCTGATTTCCAGTAGCTGCATACATTATCTATGTGAGGTGCCATCCCCAGCATTGAGATAGTTCAGTTTACGTTGTTTGTTTTAATGTTCTTATTAGTTTTAACTCCTGATTTATTTTATTTCATGTTCTTGGATTGTTAGCATAGCAGTGCGACAAAATACAGTTTACCTTAGGTTTATCAGGCTTTAAGCTTTAATGATGATTTTAGATCTCTACTTCAAAAGATCAGTTTGTCTGCTTCCTTGAAGAAGGTTGTTTGGTGTTACCAAGGCATAAGAGGCATTACCAGGTGTTACTAAGGCTGATGTTGACCCATCCAGCAGTACCTGATGAAATGCTTGGCCATTTAGGAGTTCAGAAGTGGCAGCAGACTCTGTTGACACCATTGTGCCTGGTGGCATACTGGCATTTGTTGTCTCTGACTTTCCATCTTATCAGAGAGCATATGCTTTGAGTCTTAAATAGCTCTAGGTAATGTCAAGTCACTCGTTTGTTATTCTGGGACTTGACTGGCCTTGGCAGAGCAGGGCCACATGGTGGCAGAGAGCAGACCATAGGGCCGTGAAGCTTCCAGTTCTAGCCTCAGTTGATGGCAGGCTCACACCTACTGTGTTTCATTCTGCACACAACTAAGCTAGTTCTTCCAACTGCTTCATTGGCTTTAGTGGCAAAACAAAGCACATTTTCTAATCCTCATGAAATAAATTTCCTTCATTTTTTTATTTTTGAAAGAAATTTGACCATAATGTCCAATTCTGAATTTCTGCCACAGATCCTTTAGTGAACCAAAGATCGTTGAATTAAGATTTAAACATGAGAAATTTTTATCTATAGAGTTCAGGCAGAATTATTATGGGTGACAAATTTTTAAATTCATTAATAAAATTTGTGTCCCTCAGTTCTATTAGTATTTGTATCATTTGTATTGCTCTTCTTTTCTGGGGGCTATA